AGAGAACGAGACAGACTAACAGATCCGCATTCCCTGGTTTCAGGCACAATTTGTAACACAGCAGAATTTCTTCCCTTGGTTTCACTGATGTAAACCTGGAGTAGCTCCCACTGACTTGAGCTGATCTATATTCTGCTCTTTGTTATAGTGGTCTGGGTTTGGTTAAGTGGTGTTAGATTGGGTTAAATGGGAACAAAATAGGATTCCAGTAAGTTCAAAATGTATCTTGCCCTCTTTCAGAGTGGAAAAGTGAAGAGGCATGTGCGTGCATGGGGGAAGAAAGCACAGGAGGACACACATCTGCCCTAGGTGGTACCCCTTTACATTCAGGTCGCTGCACTGATAACTTTTTACCATTCTTTTACCTGGTAGTTGCACTCTGGGTCAAGGCAGTGGTAATGTTCTCGATACTGGTATGCACAGTGTATATGTCCACAGTGCTGACTGCCAGAGAACCTGCAAACATGAGGGGAGGACAGAAGAAAGAAAGGGAGAGAGAAATGAAACAGTGTCCTGACAGTAGCGCCTATAAGCAAGGTACAAATAAAGTACGTCCCATTGCTGCTTTCATCCCATATGTTTATGGCATTAAACCCCATCTCCTTTATCCCCTCCAAGGATGGTGATCCTCCCGCCTTCCTTTTCTTATTTGTCACTATTTAAAGGTGCTTCTTGAGCAGGATCATTCAGGTCTTGTACATCCCTAATCTGTCTGTCTTTCCCTTTGAAATTCATCTTCATTATCTAAGTTGCTTACTTGGGGAAGAGTAAGAAAGGAGGGTTCCTTCAATTAAATATCATACAATTCTAAAATTCTCATGTGAGTTTAGATACCACAGCAGTGAGTTTCAGAAATCTCCCATGCCAGAAGACGACAAATAAACATCGGTCAAATATGGATTCTAAATTTTAGGTATACGCCCATCTAGTAGGATCTCAGAAAAGCTCAGGCATTCATTTGTTTGTACGAGTTATGTCTCAAGACCTTTTTTTAATCACAGTATGGTGTCACACTACAGAGAAGATTGCAAACCAACTGGATTAGATGGTAAGCCACACAGATAGAAGATGATCATGGCAAGATTATATAGGAACTTTCAAGAAGATGGACAGATCAATGGAAAGATAGGCGAGATTGATCAACAAAAACAGAATGAAGCGTTACAGGCAGACCATCTCGACCCTGTGTCCACATCTTCTCCCATGCACGACAGCCCTGCTGATCATTATTTTCCATGTGGATACAGTATTTGCTCACAACAAAAAATAGTGCAGTGCAAAAGAACAGGGTTTTCACCCTGCCTTTGAGTGCAATCAGAAGTAGGACACAAGAAGCAACAGCCAACAACATGCACCTAATCCATTTCTGCAGGCCACCACTGAGCATTCCACACAGCAAATTCGGAAACCCCTGGCACACAGGGTGGGAAAAAAAAAACAGAAAGGCCACATAATATTTACATATGAACAGACAGTACATAGAATGTATTAACAGATAGACATATCAGTAACTGGCAAAAGGGGATGATCCAGTAACGGGCTAACCAGTGCAATGAACTCTCTGATGTATGTTCTAGAGGACCCTGGAAGAGCTGAAGAGCTTGAAAGGGAAAAGCAGTGGAGAGAAGGGGACTCAGAGGGGAAACATTCAAAGATAAAGCACCATCTGCTCAAAGGTTCCTCAAAGGTTCCTCACGTCACTTAGTGCTAAACACAGCAGGAGTGCATATGATAAAGGGCATGGGAAAGAAACAAGGAAGGGCAATGGGTAAAAAGGAAAAATGAGAGCAGTGAAGGTGTCCTGGGGCAATCAAGGAATGGGGCAGGAGCAGGGAAGATTATGGATCATCATAAGGTGAGGTAATGCTAAGCTACAGGATAGAAAAAGTCAGGATGAAAAGCAGTACTAAATAAGGCATTTCTGAAGCACAATAAGGAAGAGGAGGTCAACTGTGGAGACAGCAGGGCCTCTAGGAGATGGAAAGGGGACTTAATTGACAGAAAAGATAGACATTGCTAAAAAATTAAATGACTTCTTTGCCTCAGCATTCACAAGGGGAGACAGGGACAGATGCCAGGAGCAGACATGCCTTTCCCTGGGGAAGGAGAAGAAATACTGCAGGAAATCAGGATCACGTCAGAACAAGTGATCGAGAAACTGGAACAAACCTCAGCAGCGGAGAAGAAACAAACCACAAGGCAAACAGCAAGGCTGGCTGCACAAACAAAGGTGTGGAACTGAAAGCAGAGGAAGCGATTCCTGCTCAACACCTGGGCAACTGTGAGGCTAGTACAGGGCACAGGCAGCAGCCTGAGTCACCATGGCATTAACCAGGTACACGCAGCTCGGCAGCAGATCAAACCAACTGGTCCGGCTAGTCCAGGGCTTTATGTCAGCAGCACCACCACCAGCAGCTTTAAAGGAAAGAAACTGCTCCGTGGAAAGCTTCCTCCCTATTCCACTGATTAGATGGGGAAGAGAGAGCAAAGGGCTGTGCGGGGCTGGAGAACTGTGGAGCGCAGGCCAAGCAGAGAGAAGAGGAAGATAAAGACCTTGCTGACAAATATACACCTTTGAAGCAAAGCAGTCCAAAATATTATTGAAAGTGAGGCTGCAAAATGACCAGAGATGCCAACTGCACTAAAAGAAGGGCCAGACACCGAAGAGATCTGACTGTATGGGATGAGTTACGTGAAGCATCCTAGCAGGCTTAACTCACGGGCTCAGCTTTAAAAGCAACAGCTAAACAAGCACTCCAGCACTTCAAACTCCTACCCTCCCTTCCACGTGCCACGGAAAGGTGTGTGTGTGGTGTCCACAGCGCAGGAAGGGAGAGGCAAGTGTTCTACCAAACCGTGTGCTTGGGGAAGGAGGGAAGCAGCAAACACACCACAAAGGGGAAATTCTGCTCTTTCAGTCTGTAAGGTTAGGCTCCTAAAGGGTTATTATTTATCCTGTGTTTCTTCTGACACTTGAAACAGTTCAAAGCTATTAATTTTTAAAGCACAGCATCTGTTTAGCTTTTTCATAACAGGAAAGCTTACACAGCGTACACTTACACGCATACACACGCGCACATTTACATGCACATACTCTAAGGTACATCAACACCCCTCTTAATTTACATGAACGTACCCACAATTTCCATGCACATGATCAGACACAAACACACACACCTGAAACAAGCAAACTCACAGACCATTTAATCACGCTGATATGCGAATCCAAACTCCTCAATTGTCCACACAGGCACACAGATTCATTTTCACAAGAACAACCCCCTCCCCCTTCCCTTACTTTAATCGGTTCACTTTTTTTTTTTTTGGCCAGAAAGAACTACTCTTGATCTGGCAAGAGTTAGAAAGAAAAACCAAGATAAATAAATAATAATAAAAATAAGAAATAAAGAAGTCAGCATGCTTAGAGAGTGTTTACAGACTCATTACCCTGTAACGATGATGTGAAAGAAGGAAGAAAAAAAAAAACCCACCCCAATTACAAGGGGGGAGGAAACCCACACAGAAATAAATATTTAAGCAAGTGCTGCCAGAAGCACCATCTGCTGAGGCACTAATAATAATAATAATAATTTTTTCTGTGGAACAACCCAACCCAAACTAGCTAAGTAAGAGGTTTTGTTTTGTTGTGTGAGAGAATGGATTACTCCTGGGCAGCTTTTGGCAGTGGCTTTGGCAAACTCATTAAGCTAATTATGCACTACAGACATACAGTGTCTCTCTCCCCCCACCCCTTGATTTTAAGGCTTTAAACTGTTTTTAAAATTGTGTGTAAATTGAAGGGAAGTGGCTGTGCTGCCAACGGGCGGCTTGCAGAGCTTTTTAAGCAGGATGTGGTGTCCCTTAGCTATCTCACAAGCTTCCCTCAGTTACCTACCTGACCCAGGGGAAGGGGCTTGCAGAGCGCTACGAAGAGTGGATGTGGGTGAAGTGTTTATACAGTTCTCTGCTTGAGAGGGGAACTGGGGACAGAAAGGGTGGCATCTCCTCTCTCACTGCAAGCTCTGCAATTCCTGCAATCTCAGCAATAAAAGGGTGCTGCTCCTTCTGCCCCATGCAAAGATGGGCTTAAACCCCTGCTTTCATTCTTATACTCTCCCAGAAGGCAGTGAGTTGCCACGTGCACTAGAGGTTCTGCTGCTTGAGGAGCTGCATGTGGTGGTGCATCTGTCTTCTCTTCCCATGTGGTCTTCTGCCCCCTTCTCCTACATCAGGGATTTGGGCAAAAGGGATGGAAGGGAAATCACCTCTTGTTCCACTCTCCAGCTAGGAAGAGCACTGTTCCCACCCTTTTCCCCTGCTGATGTGCCGAGATCTTCCCTTGCACCTTCCTAGCAGCTGACTGCCTCCCACAGAGAGACTCTCTGTAGACTCTGGCAAGGTGGGAAAGCACAGTACATGTTTCCCTCCCCTCTTGTTAATAAGTGCCCAAGTGCTGGTGGGAACAAACCCTTCAGTTTTATCTCTGGAGAGAAGTGTTTGCTTGCTTCCCTGACTGGTGTCTTTCTGTATACAAGGGGCTTTCCTAGTGAGCTTCCTCACAGTACAGATGGAGGATTCAACAGGCCAGGAGCAAAGGCTTGGTGATGGACCCTTTAGACCGTGAGCTACACCTGTTTTATAGGCAGGTTTTATTCAGTAATCTCCTCTGCCCCTCTGGCTCTCATGGCATTACTCACTGTCTCACCACAACAACCTTGGGCTCCCTCTCAGCATTGCTCATTCTTGACCTATGCTTGCCCAGAGCTGTGATAAGGTGCCCTAGTCTGTACCTTATTCAGTGAGGGTCTCTTATATAAATGAGCTGCAAAATGTTCTAGGATAAACATCCCACATTGATGCCAAGACCTGCCTAAACTCGAGTCACTTGTGAGTTCCTCCAACCTAGATTCTCAGAGGTGAGATGTTCTCTGCTTGCCTCTGGTAGGCACTGGACATGGTAGGGGAAAAAGGCTGGAGATAGCACAGCAATGGACAGAAAGAACGACAGTCAAGAGACAGCGCTCCCATTTAAACCCTGGGCTTGTGCAGTGAAAGATTTTTCCACTATTTGTCACAAAGTCTAACAGCTCTGGGGAGCCGAGTATGCTCTTGGCATGCTTGTACACCTTTCACAGCTACTGCTCTCCCAAGCAGGGGAACAGACCAAGTACAGATGCCAGAGGGAAATGGAAGTGCCAATGACTGGTTTAAACACTTGATCCAGATGAACAAGACCTCATCTCTCCCACCACCACTCCACCCTCTTACTTCCAGCCCTCTCCCAAAGAAAGTCAAAAGTTCTGCCTACCTGGCAATATACTTCTGGTAAATATTTACGTCTTCGCTGACAGCTGGTTTGTCAGTGGGTAATCCGTTCCTAATGAGAAACACACAGGGCAGAGCTGGTTAGCAGGCAGGAACAGAGGACAGTCTAAGCTCCTTATTTCTCTCACACACCACTGACACATCAGGAGAGAGGGCCCATGGAAGAGTACCCAGCAAAGACACCTATGGGTGTCTTAACCTCCCTCGCCCTTACCCTTCAAATCCTGTACCTTCTTTTCCTAGGGAACCGTACAGTCTGCCTACCACCCCTCCTGCATATTCCCTCTTTGCAGGGCTCAGTTCAGTTTGTTGGAGACACTGAGAAGACCAACCATGAAAACCTGTTTTTCAACAGAAAAAAACTAAATACCCATATACAAACAACCGATGGCCACGTGAAAACAAAGACCTCCCTGAAGCACCTTGCAACACTGCCCTTATGTACACAGAAAGGCCATTGAGATACATCTGCCATAGGCTCACCTGTGCGAAAAGAGTCTCTGTGCTTCACCCAGGCTGTGAGCTACTGCACATTTCCTATGGCCAGCAGGCACAGTGTACTCCTACCCGGTCCGGACAACATGGCTACAGCCCCCTAGATGGGGCTTTAATTGCCTCTTTTTTCACACAGATACCCCAACTCCAATAGACAGATGGGGCAGCAAAGGTATTTATGTATTTTGATCAGTGAGAAGACCAATCCAACTGCCACATAAGCCTGGGTTACTTAATATCATTAGGAAGCAGACAAAAGTTACATCCTCAATGAGTTCAGCAAGAGGAAAAAGAGATACAGATGCCAGGGCCAGACTCCAGTCTACCTAAGAGACAGTGGCATACCAACACAATGCCAGACAGGCTGTACGTGGTCCTCCTTCTCAGTTTTGCCCCCATCCAACCCCCACTCCTACTCATGACTGCTCTGTAGCCTGGTTTAAACAAGGACACTTTCGCACAGAGTTCACCTGAAGTAGGTAGATTAGTTCAGGGCAGGTTAATAGCATTAGATGTTAGAGAGTTTAAACCCATGGCTAGGGTATATGTGCATATGTGTGAGAGTAAGGGGTAATTCCTGCCAGGTTATTTGGTCCCAGTGGGGACTGTGAGTGGAAAGCCACGTCCCAGATACCACAGTTAGCACTTCCTCCACCAGCACAATTAATGGTCTGCTTTCTTATATCATGAAAGCCTGTATCTAGTAAGCAGCCTGAAGGAGAAGGGACCAGAGCCCCTTCTGTACTCGTGTGTGATCAGGACACTGGGAACTGCCAGGTTGAAGGCCCTGGTCACCTCCATTCCTGTTGCAGCCCCACCATGATGCCCCAGTTGAGGAAGTCCTGTGGTTAGAGGAGGGATCACCATGGTGCTGCAAACCCACACCTGCAAGCAGCAGGAAATGAGCAAGAGAAAGAAATCAAACTGGGATCCCAGTGCAACACCAAAGCAGGTAAGAGCTGCTCACAGCCCCCCAAGCACAGCTCTAGGATAGCCACTGAACTCCAGGCAGCTGAGCATTCTGCAGACTCTTCAGGCACACTGAGTCCCTGGCCAAGTCACCCATCACAACAAGGCACTGTGCCTACAGGAATATTTACACCAAAGTGTTTTTTAGTAATGGGAGTCCCTGCCTGCCATCTGGAGCACATACAGGGTTCATCCTGAGCAGGGGTCAGATGCAAATGTTAATAATCCTCTGCCCTTTCCCATACACCTTAACCACAGAGCTCCCAAATCTGTCTGCAGGCAGTTGGGAAACGACTGTTTCACATGGAAGACAGGTATCATTAGCTCTGCCTTCCAGGTGGGGAAACACGGAAAGCGGGGGATGCAGACTTGTCTGAGACTGCAAAGAGCATTCGAGTGAGGATTCAGCCCAAGGCCTCCTAGGTCCACATAAAACAGCCTTCCTCCTTACCAGAGGGCAAAGTACTAGGGTGCGTGTGATGGCATTTGCCACAGAAGTGCAAGCTAGAGGTCCTAGACTTACTACAAATGACCCCATGGGATTCACAGCTCCCAACAGCCCCGGGTTCACAATGAGAAACAAGTCAATCCAAACCGTGACAAGAAAGCAGAGAAGTCCCTTCCTTCCTCCCTGTTTGCAGCCTCACACACATACGTAGCTTTTCTACAGCTACCACCTCTGGAAGCCACATTAAAAAGTAATCCAAGGTTTGGCAAGGCCTTCAGATATCTCTATTCAGTCAATGGCATCACTGCAGAGATTGCCAGCAACGTATGTGTAGGAGGTTATTAGTGGTAATTGGGCTAATGAGTTTGCCCAGTCTGAGGGGTAACTGAATCACCTCTATTTGTGTAAGGAACAAGCAAATTGAGAAGACACAGGCCTGGCCCCACAGAAGTATGTATATGCCTAACTCCTATGAAAATTGATGGGAATTAGGCACCAAAATGTCTTCTGAGTTCTGGGACAAACAAAAAGCCCCATCTTGCTAACAGTGAAGTCAGCAGTTTTGCCATTGAGTTAAATGGAAGCAAGAATCAGGTTCTCCTACAGACACAGCTGGATGCCTGGGAAACCAGAAGAAGAAGAAAGTAAAGTAGTTACAACCGTGACCTTAGAGTGCTGACAGCACCATGTTCCCTCACCTTTCATTTTAACATATGAACCCAGGAACTAGCGGGCTCTACATTCATGGCTGTGACTGCTGATGGCAGGCCACATCCTTAGTGCAAATATAGAGATGTAGGTGCAACAGAGGAGCGGACACCCCAACAGAGAGCAAAAAGAAACATCACATGAACAGTGCAGTATTTATCATCTCACAAACTGGAATTGCCCACTGATCCACACACAGACTTCAGGTATGATCCCCCACTAACACAAAGATAAGAAAAGTGGAAGGACACTTACTTTACTGTAGAGACTGTTCCAGTTGTGATGGAGTCTGTCTTGGAGAAAGTTGATTTCAGGTACTCAGGAGTGTTGAATGGCAATGAGACGGACTGCTCTGGCCCAGCCACAGGAGTGCTGCTGGGGGTACTGGCAAGGGGAGCAGGGGCCAGGCTGGGTGTTGGAGCTTTTACTGGAGTAAGCTTCTGAATGTTCCTCACGTCATACTTGGAAGGCCGGCCTACCTTGCCTGTCTTGAAGGCGATGGCTCCTCCCATATCTGGGCTTCCTTCTCCAGGCTTGAAAAGGTGCAAGTACTTGACGTTTTCTAGGTCATACTTAGAGGCCTTCTTGTAAGTGTTGCCATTTTGTGGCCTGATGCTCTCACCTGTCTTCAGCTTCTGAATGAAGAAGTCATATTTGGAGGCTCGTGACATCAGGCCCTGCATCTGGGAACTGCTGGGAGAGGGCAGCGGCAGGATGGTGGCTTTGGTCTCCGTCAGCATGGAGGCATCTGGACCTGGCACCCGAATGGGCTGTGCCAGCACTGAGGAAGTTTCTTTGCCCAGCTTGGAGCCCAACTCCTCAGATTTGGCCAAGTGCATGGGCCAAGAGAGCTGCTCTCCAGCTTTCAGTTTGCGTATGTACTCCTCATACTTGGAGAAGCGGGCTCGTTTGCTCATGGCGTCCTCGCCAGGGAGAGAGGCAGCAGTCGCAGTGGCCTCTGAGGTAGCAGCGTTCAGCTTGTCAAAGCTGATCTTGCGGGCCAGCTCATCCCGCATGTTCTGATCATCATAGCCGAACATGCCCAGGAACTCATTCATGGTGGTGGCAGCATAATCTCGCAGCGATGAAGCTTCCCCTACAGAGAACCAAAGTGAGAGTCACACAAGGCGCTGATTTTTCTTCTCCTCCCATACCAGCACTAGTAGCAGGGAGGGGGAGTAAGGGGAGAGGGGAACATGATCTACTGACGTTTGGCTCACTTGTTAGGTTTTACGACTCTTAAATTAATTTGTTTTAAAAAAAAAAGTAATTAATACTGGGGTAAAATAAAAAGAGTTCATCAATGCCAGGAAAATCAATTTCCTAAATGTTCTAGCCGATGGCTTTTCAGTACATTAAACAAAGTTTCATAAATGTCTCTGCACTCTTGCCTTGGCCTAATATGAAGAAAAAGTAATTTTACTGGAAGTGAGACCAACGCCAATATGCCAAGGTTTGTACAGTTCTGTCCTTGTGTGTGTTTCTATATGGATAGGATATATATGTGCATAGGTTATATGCACAGAGGATAGACGGCAGTGTGTCTGCGTGTGTAAGGGGAAGTAGAAACATGTGAGATATGCCATGTGTGTTGGTGAACAGCAGGGCTGAGAGCAGGCGGGACAGCATGGTGTGAAACGGATAAGGGAGACAGGGCAAGACAATGTATGGGGTGGAGCAGGAGGAGGGCAGAATGGAAAAGTGCAGAGTAGAGAAGGAAAGCAGCAGAGGTGGAGATGAACTAAGGTGGGGGAA